AAAAAAAAAAAAAAATCGAATTTTTGAAAAATTTGGTCGGCGGGTAATGCAAAACGAAAAATTAACTTTGCGCGGCCTAATCAGAACAAATTTGAGTAAAATTTAGCCAAATATAATACTTTCCATTTGTAACTGGGTGGACAGAATTACTAACAATGCTAGCCAAAAATATTTATGAGATGATAGAGATGAATATTCTTTAATGCTTCATAGTAATTTAAAAAATTTAGATTTGATCATCGATTTTGGAATTAATTCTGGAGGATTTGATTATCAGCTTGAATCTCAAATATCTTATCATCCATAATAATACGATATATGGAATATAAAAATTCAAAAATAACATTAGTGATTAAAAGACTCTACCAACTTATTTATAGGATTGTCATCAGAACAATCAAGCTCTTCTATATATTGATAGCCTAATTCTAAAAGATAAGGAATACTTTCATGGTCATCTAATTTTATAGGCTCCTCAAAAAAGACTTGCCATCGTTGTTAGCGATTTTTTAAATAATTGTACATTACACGATCCGTATCACTTTCTTGTGTAGATATCATCAATCGAGGAAGATTTTGTGCCCAAAAAAGTAAATTATATTGATCAGGATCTGAAGAATCTGGTAAATAACATCCAGTACCCAGAGAAAGCACTGAAATATTTTTCTCTGGCACATTATATCGAATAGCCTCATTATAAGCAGTTGACGCTGGGTTATTAAGATGTATTCCACCATCTATAAAAGTTTTATTACCGATTTTATAAGGCGGAAAAAACGTAGGTGCGGTTGTTGCTGCCATTAATATGTCAACGAATGTATCATTTGTCTCGATATTTTTTGCATCATAGCGAGTAAATAAATGCGAGTAGTCTTCATTTGCAGTAGGAATAACCAATTCAGTAAGAGAATGTCTTAACCTTGTTTTACCAAAAAACTTTTCAAACATAGTATAACGACCCTCATCTGTATACTTATTGTATATTTTGGACAATATAGGTATATTGAACAATGATGCTGACGTAGTGAACAAATTTTTGGATTCGTTCTTATAAAGGTTCAATAATTCCGATGCTGAAAATAGTGGAATTAAATTTGAATATTCATATTCAATATGATCATTTGTCTTGTAGATAGGTTTGAAATGTGGTGCCGATAATCCAGCAGCAATGACTCCACCAGTCGATGTTCCAGCTATCATATTAAATAGGTGAGAAATGGGTCTACGAGTACGATATTCTATCTCGCTAAGCCATAATGCAGGCAATACCCCGCGTATTCCTCCTCCATCAATTGATAAAATATGGTAGATAGGACGCTCATTATTGTGGGCATGCTTCAAATAATCTATTTCATATATTAACACTCTTTTATAGCGATCATTGTGTTGTTCAATTATATTATTTACATTTAATTTTTTGATAAGTTCTCTATGTTTACCAGCTGAATTATTTCCAGGATCCAAATTTAGTGCCTCAGAATTGCATGACATAGCGTCTATATACTTGTTTTGCTTAAAATAAGCTACACTACGAAAATACCAGTATTCTGATAATGAATTTAAGGCTGAACATGTATCAGAAAGCTTGATAACTTGAGTATATTTAGATAATTTTAATAAGCATTTTGCATATCCAAGGGAATAAATCGGATTATCAGGGTCTAGTTCACGCACAATATTGTAATTTTTTTGAGCAGATTGCCAATGACGTAAACTATTTAACATGCTAATTTTAGCTTCTTTTTCAGCCAAATGTTCAAAGTAAACCGCTTCATAATATTTATTACTTTGGTTGAAAGACTGTTGGTAATTAATATATTTATTATCTATTTTCGGAACAGACGTTGCGTTGTTGCAACGGGAAATGTGATGAAAAAAGATGGATCAGATAGATCTTCACCACTAATAATCCTCAAGAAATCCTCCAAGACTTCTAAGCGTAATTTAGCTTTGCTTACATATTGGTAATTTTCCCTTACAGATTTTTGAACTTCTTTAACCATTTTTTTAGCCACTTCATCTGCGTCCATACAAAATTCGAATATATTAAGAATTGCAAAATTAATTCTTGCAATATTACGTATTTCCTCAAGTCTTGAAAAAAAGGGCATTTCTATAGAGTCTTGTAGGTATACTAGTGCCATTATTGGACTCTCTTTTAATGGCATAGAATTTTTAAGTTTACCACTATCAAAGCTCCCTTGACTGGTTTGTCGTAATTTGCTGGTGCATTTATCTAGCTCTTTTGCCTCCTCCACAAGTTCGTAACTCAGCGCCAGTTCAAAAAATCTTCGTGCACAAGCTTTCAAAGCAGCATGTGTGAAACCTTCTATTTTTATTTTTCCACTACCTAAAACTTCACCAAGCACAACAAGTAAATATGCAATACCATCCGATCTGAAACCATGACTTTTAAGCGTATTCACTATATCATCCGTGTTTATCCAAACAAATTTATCAGAGTACTCTATTAAGAGGCGTTTGTCTTTATCATATTCTTCAGAAAGCACATTAATGAACTCTTGATATTTTTCATCATCATATGCACTTATCGCTTTATTCATGATTTCGTTGAGTTTTTCTCGAATTATTGCCTCTAGCATAATTGCACCTCTTTTATATATATACAAATTTGCGCGCTTCTTTGCATGTAAAATAATCTCATATGACGTTTGATAACAAATCAAACTACGTTCAGCTTTAACAAATAGGTTAGTAATAATATTAACTAAATTATTTACATAATTTGAAATCTGAATAATCTCATTATTATTGAAAGAATTATTTGTTTTTATTAAAGCCATTGCATGATTAGGGTCATTCGCTAATTTAATATCAGTATTCGAGTCAGAAGACACGTCTTCCCCCTTCTTTTTTTTCTCTTTTCTTCCACCATTAACTTTATCAAATATTTTTTTTGCTTCATCTAATTCATGTTGCGTAAAATTATCTAATTCATATGGCGTAACAATAAGTTGTAAAAAAATTGCTGCAAAAGCATATAATGAGGCTTCTAGAAATTTGTTTGAGAGATATAAACATAAAGCCATGCATCCTCTCAATTTTACCTGTCTTTTTAGCAGTTTAGCTTTATCTGCTAATTTGCATGCTGCTCGATATTGATTGTAAGTCAATTCTCCCATAATTATGCACTCACGTTTTAATAATTCTGAAGAGAGTTTTTTGATATCATCTTTCTTTAACACCTTTAGCTTGTTCCAATGTCCTTTTGATGCGTTATAATAATCAATAGTAATTTGCCAAAGTTTATTTCCGTATTTTTCATAGCCCTCTAGTTCTAATATTTTTTTTAATTTATTCAATAAACATTCTCTGAACCCGAAAATAAGGTTGAATAACTCGTCGCCTTGACTTTTATGTATTTCTCGAAGCACATATGGACTTTTTGGATTTGTAGTTCTATCTGGGTGAAAACATGAACTAAGAACTCTAGCGCGTCTATTAATCTCTTTTTCTGTATTTATACTATTTTCAAATAATAGCTCTATTTTATTTGAAGAAATCGACAAAAATGAAATAAATTCTTTTCTTTTTGAATATGCTGCATCATGTGCGAATACTTCTAAACATCTCAAATGGTCTATCAACTCTGTACTAACGTTTTTAATTTTTAAAGACTCATTGTCAAGCCCTCTTTCATTATTGCTATTAGTTTTTAGAACGATTGACTTTTTATTAATTAAACTATCTGCTAACCTATGAATATAAATCTCGCAATTTATTGTTTCTAAATAACCTTCAAAAGTCCTAGTTACTCTACTAAATCTTTCAAAAATCTCTTGTATCGCACTAATAAGTTTATTCACTAAATTAATTTTAATTAATTCATCTAACAGTAAAATTAAGTGGATCTGGTTTATTTCTTCTAAAATTTCTTTACAATTTTGACTGATGGCATTTGGTGTTTCCTCGGTACGAGTACTCGTATATCTTTCGTACCTTCTCTCTGACATTTTTTTGTTTGTTAGCACTTTTTATGTTATCAATCGCTTTTGAATAGTTATGATAAGTTGTATAATATTTTCATTTGTATAATTTTCGTGGAGTTTCTTACATGAGTCTAATTCACTCAATTGGCTAATCTCTTTCGACTGTGTATCATTCAAGTATACCACAGTAATGATCACTACAAGATTAACGCCCTATCTATTTTTTTTACTATATTCGTATTAGACTCAGGGTTTAAAACAAGATGCATATGTGCACGAAATTTTTTTGAATTTTTTAAAAATCTATTAAGTGTGCATGTAAAATTTTTAAAAAAAGATGCACAAAATACATTTGTG